GATATAAACGAATTTTATAAAAGAAAATAATAAAATAGAAAAAAAATATAGAGTTTTATATTATAAAACATAATTTAATTTTATAAAATATGCTAAAATTTAAAAATTAATATTAATTTATAGTCTAATGGTACATAATAATAATTTTAAATATAATTAATTTTTTTCAGAATAAAATAATTTTTATTCTTTTCGATAATAAGTTCTTAATTAGAAAATCGTTTATATCTTTTATTAAATTTTAATTGAGAATTTAAACTGATCATTCAATTAAATTTTTCTATTAAATAATAGAAAATTTATACTATTTTTTATAAATAAAAATTATTTTTTAATCATTTATAGGATTGAAAATAATTATCTTTAAGAAAGATGATAAATTATTTAATGATAAAATCGTCAAATAAAGAAATCAATCACTTTGGAAAAACGGAATTTGCTTAAGAAAAAAAAATTATTTCTAATGTAAATGATCTTGTTTCTCTTCTAACAAATTGTGTTTTTCTCATATAAAATAAAATAGAATTCAATGTAAAATGACACGAAGAATGCTTAGAATCTTTGATATAAATACGCAGTATTTTAAATATTATAAGATTTAAAAAAGCTTCAGAACTTTAGAATTTTAAAACTTTTATTTATATTATAAATATTTTTTCTAAATTAATTCAAAAATATTATATATTATGAATACAAAATTATTTTATATCTCTTATTGTGCTTTTATAATTTGTTCTTAATCATAAATCATTTGTATTCAAAGAAAAATTTAATTCGCCTGAGAATACACAATTTAAACAATTTTTCTGCATGTAAATTCGGTGAGAATAAGCAAATTAATGATGTTATTTTATAAGTAATTATATTTTATTGTGTTACATATGTAGAGTTGATTGACAGAAATAGAAATAATTTGAAAATCCTACAACTTTATCAAAAGGAAAGTAAAAGTTCTTTCTTTCTTTAGGGAATTGCAATTGATCCACTCCTAACAAATCCTATTTTCCTAAAATGATTAATTGCTTTATCAGCTAGTCAATTAAGTTAGAACTACATTAGACGATTGTATCATTAAATAACTTATTATCCTTAGCAACGATACTGAGTAATCCTCCATAATTACATTAATAATTACGCATGATATATGATAATCTAGAATAATTTCTTTATAAACACAAAGAAAATTACTTAAAACACATCCAACAACGTAAGTAATTAAGTCTAGCAACAGATTAAACAAATTCAGTTATTTGATTACGAGAATATAATTATAGATTACGATAAAAATTTTTATGTAAATTAAAATAAAATAAATCGTGATTATTATAAAATTAAGTATTTATACAGAACAATGAAAGTATTTAATATAATTTGTGCTTTTTTTGGAATAATTTAAGGCTTATTCTTATAATATATCAATTTTATGTAGTATTAAATTATTTTAAATGTTAAAATATAAATAAAAGATGTGTAAAGAAAAAACATTACACAAAAAATATTTGGAACAAACCATTTTTACTCTGAATATCACAATAATTTTTTTTTTAGTTTTTTTTCGATTGTCTAAACACCACATGCATAAATCTATTTTGGACAATATAATGGCATATTTAAATGCACATTTATGGACAACATCCAGCATCAAACAAAACATATTGTAGATGATGCTTTACATCAAACATTGTTAATTATGAATTTTGAAAATATCTTTTTTTCACCCAATTAAGCATTATTAGGATACACTTTTTAAAATATTCTTTTCTTTCACAACATTTTGATTTGTTTTTAAACGTACACTTAGACCTACGTCTTTTGATAGTTTTTTTCTTTAATTTTTAAATTATAACATATGAAGCGTAAACTATACAACAATGACAACAATACAATGTAGAATATTGATAATAACGTATACTTAAAAAACGTTTGTAAAATAAATATAAATTCCCCAAAATAGAAACCAGAACACTAGATTTATCCATTTTTAATGCTAAATCACTTTTAACTTAATATTAATTTATAAGTGATTTGTAGAGTGTGATAAATGCTGGCACATATATCTAAGGAATGTGTTCTTTGTAATTAATTTGTGCGTCATCTTCTGTAATAAATTTAAATTATAAATATTTTCGAACATTTAAATAATGAATACTTTTTAAACATCAAATTTAGCAGCTTTAAATTTTAATTATTTATCTTCAAATATGATAATTTTTGTTATAAATGTAAACAAAATAATATATATGATACTGTTTGTACTAGTGTCCTGGTTTACATTTATATTTTCGGTCACTGAGACTGAGAAAAATAAAATAGTAATACATTTCAAAATTATAACTTTTTGATCACTTTTAATTTGACGAAAACTAATTCAGAAAATCACAAGATTTTCTGAAATAATATTAATATTTTACTGTTTAATATAAGCTACATAGAAGCCAACATTCAAAATAGCTCCTAAAAAGAAGCTACAGAAATTTTGTAATTTAAATAATAAATTCAACTGCTTATCGGGTTACAAAATTTTGTTACATAGTTAAATAAAAGCGATGGTAACTTGAATTTTAAAAAAAATATATGCATATGTTAATAATTAACACCAATGAACAGTTGCATGATTATCATGCATTAGTATGTCTTATACATTATACAGTGACGACAATCTCATGATATAGACGTTCTCATGGAAAAATAATCTCATGATTGCATTTAATTTAACTATAATTATGCGAATGTGAATGAACAACATATGTACTGTACGTACTAATATATTAAATCTTTTTTAAAAAAAATGTAAATTTGATTATTTATTTAACAAAAATATCTGAATAGTTTTAAAAACAAAGCTTTATGATTAAAGATTACTTCTAATATATTTAAACAAATCTGTATTAGAACTTTGATAAAAGTCTAAAATTTCATAGAGATATCTATAAACTTATAGATTAAAAAGTTTCACTTAATTAATGCCCTATATTTGGAAACACGTGATTTGTCTGGAACATTAATTTAAAAAATAGATCAATAAATTTAACTATTACACTAATGTTCAGATTATCTAATCACTTTTTGGATGATTATCCTGTTACCATCGCTAATTTAACAAAATTCACAGCTGTCTGATAAAAAGTTTTTCTTTATAATCATTTTCGATAAATATTAATGTGTCTCAGAATTTTTTGTTTTATAAATACATAAATTAGGCTACGTATTGTAATATAAAGCTCGTTATAATCACAGTTTAGTTAAAATTTAAAAAATAAATAAAACAAATTTTAGTGAGAATCGTTTTTATCGTCATAATCTTCTTCAAAGAATGGTACATGTATCTGTCTGATGAGAGATGATATACCTTCATCCTTGAATTGACATTTGAATAGAATATTCTTAAATGCGCATCTGAAATCTTTACTGAAATGGGCATATATGAACGGATTTATGGCTGAATTACAATAACCCAACCAGAAAAAAATTGTAAATAATAATTGAGGAAAACAATCTTCACAAAACGGTCTGATTAAGTAAACGGTGAAAAAAGGTAACCAACAACATATAAAACAACCAACGATGATACCAACAGTTTTAGTAGCTTTGGTTTCTGACCAAAATCGTTTAGCATGTAGCCTAGCGTTCCTTTTGCTCATCCTCGAAAAGAATGAACGTCCATGTTTACTGGAAGATTTTTCGCCTTCTTCTTTTCCATCTTTCTCGTCACTTAAAGTTACAGATTTTGTCGAGTTACCTGTATTACTCCTCAGTGAAGTAGTGTCTGCTTCGTCTAATTTTTTATCACTGGAATTTCTTCTAGAAGGTGAAGGTGAAGCTGGTATCACCAGGACACCGGCTCTCCTACCATTAGTACAACTCAAGTCCGGGAATTGCTTACCTCTATGTATTCTGAGAGTCACACCGTGATTTTCGTTTTTAGTTTCCTTTTTGTTACTATTTTTTGTAATTTTAAAACCGCAGTTTAAGGCACGACTTGTTTTCAAAGCGGCTTGATAGATTCGAAAGTAAAAGAACAGCATGATTAGCATTGGGATGTAAAACGACCCGAGTGACGAGTATACTACGTATCCCTTATTATTAATCAGGGCACAACTGAGTTTGCAATCGTCTTTGATGATTGGTAAACTATAATTTTCTACGTGGAAGTACGTAAGGCTAGATAAATTGGTGAGCGTTATGTCTTTAGGTATATGTTTTGGTGTATCTTTTGAACCGTAAAAAGTATCGATACCCATAGAACTGTCGTTCCATCCGACTAAAGGAGGGAAACAAATCACAAAAGAGAAAACCCAAACTGTAGCAATGAGAATCTTGGCACGTATTTTCGTCATGATTGACCTGTAGTGAACCGGCCTGGTTATGGCCACGTAACGATCTAAACTTATGGCACATAAATTGAGTATGGAAGAAGTGCACATCCATACATCTACCGCTAACCATATTTGACACCAGACCGGCCCAAATATCCATACTCTTAGCACTTCTAGAGATATTGAATACGGCAAAACTGCTAAACCTACTAACAGATCTGCCACTGCTAATGACACAATAAAGAAATTAGTTACGGTGCGTAATTTCGGGTTCAACGTAACGGCTAGTATAACCAAGATGTTCCCAGCTATCACAATACAGTTCATGATGCCGAGGAACACTAATGTCATAATTTCTTCAGTACTCCCGGAGAAATCCATATTTCCGCAGTCATTGTTAGGTATGATGCGTTCTGCTCCGATGTGTGTCATAGTTTTAGAATTTTTTTCTTCGTCTCTCGTGCACGTATTCTTGATTGTATCGGTAATCTGACATATCTATAAAATAAATAAAATAATAAAAGAGTTATTTTTGGAAAAAGTAATGAAAACACCCATCCTTAAAAAATATTTTTTTATTATATAATTTACTATGTAAATAAAAATCATCTTTAAACAGTTATTTTTGATTAGGTAACTGTTCAAATAAAAAATAAACTATAAAAATCATAATTTAATATAAATTAAATAGTTCACAATTAAATTTATTTAAAAGTTTTAATTTTCTTTGAAATAAGTATTACAGATTAGAAATTTTTACTATTATTTAAATGAAATTCAAAACTAAACCAATAGGATTCGATTTTAAAAGACATGAAAGTATATTAAATTGTTTTGATTTTATCAAAGAATTATTATAAAAAGACCTTAAAAACTCTATAAAATCATATAAGTTAAGGTTTAATATCGTATATCATATGTATAGGCTATCTCTAGCTCAAATAAATCAAAGGAATGTAGAATAACAAATGAAAATTTTCTCGAACGTTTTAGAACAAAAATATTTACTTTAACATATCCCTAAGCAGGAAGACGTTATATTAATTAATTTAGGAAAAACAAAGTTCTTATTTTTAATCAAATCTTTTATCTTGCGTAAACGCTTAACTCTCTACAAAATTAAAATTACTTTATCGGTATTACACTGTCATAATGAGTTAGATAACGTTACACATCGTCCATTTTGGCATTTAAGATGGATGGTTAATTATTTTTCTGCAGTAATAATTACCCAAATATTATCTTTTAATTGTCTTCTAATTCGTTTTCTCTAAACATAATTTACTTAGATAACAATTATGATAAAATTTATATAATACAATTATAATAGATAATCCTAGATTGATATAAAATCTACAGTTCATTATGAAACAGAATGAAAGATTAATTACTTTAATAGCTTATCTAATGTTTACATTTGGATTGTATTATAGGATTAACACGAGGAAACAATTATATATAGTGTATATATATATATATATACATGGTTCGAAATGCTTCGAAATTACTATTTTAAAAAAATCAGATAAAAATTGTGTTAGATTTCTAGAAAGGAAATTTGGATTTTTCATTCATTTTTTAAAGTTTTGAATGAGATTTACGGTACAATTAAATAATAATCATTATTTTTAGTATTGTTAATCCTATTCCGTGTTCCTTCAGATGTGTAGGTGACTTGATTTTGGCACAACACACGGAATAAATATAGCATTACTTACAAAATAAATAACAAAACTACGAAATTAAAAATAATAATTCTTCTTATAAATAATAAAACAATATCACTTGGGATATTTTTCGTTAACTTATCATTTCTCATTCTCCTCTTGTTAAAGTTAGGATTAGTTCGTAAGGTCACATGATGCGAATCATTTCCTCGTGACATTACAAATGCTGTACGTAAGTGCGTCATCTAGCGACACCAAATGAATTCAATCGATTGTAGTAGAACAAACAATACCGTGATTGCTTCACGTTTACTCAAGCTGCTAATATAAGAATTGAATAGAGATTATTTGGAATATTCTAACACGAAATATGCATACATCCGAAAAATTCCTCAATACATATTAACAATTGTATTCGTTTCTTTTTCCACAGAAAAATCTTACTACTGATATTACAAATTTTTTTAAATGTTTCCTTTAAAATAAAATATTTAATAAGAAGATTAAAATATTTTNTAAAGGTTGTATTAATTATTTTCTTCTCGCGTTATCTCTCCTATATTAATTTCTGTATTATTAATATGAAAATCATAAGTTATATATGTTTTTTCATTTCAATTTCAATAGAATTCAGTAGAAAATTTTCAATTGATTTACAAATTGGTATTTTTATTGATAGGCAATTTCCTTCCGTCTACCACACAATAATATAGTTTGTTATCCTCATTAAATTCAATAATCAATTATAATTATTTAATTGATGACGTCAGTAGTTAATTACTTTATTAAACAAATAATTATATTAAATTCATAATCACAGAATGAAACGGATTATATAAATAATAATAAATAATGAAATTGGAAAAATGATATTGTTATGATTATAATTAAATTTCTTAGATGTTGATTGAATTAACAATTTTTGAATCGTTTTAATTAAAATTTATTTAATTTTGGTTTCTTATTTTCTTTATCAGAAACGTTATTTCGATTTTCTTTTCAAGCAACTTGCTCAACTCTGACATTTTAGTTGCGTCGTTATCGTCTCAGGTTTTCGTACGACAATTTTTTTCTATGAAAATTCGCAAACAATAAATAAACAATCATAAATTTACTCTTAAATATTATTTAATAAGTCAATAAATTTAATTAAAAATTGAATAAAAATTACTTTTATTCTTTCTCTCTTTATAAATTTAAATTTTAAAGAATATTTCCTTATTAAAATTATTATTTTTATTAAAGTAATCGTTAATTTAAAGAAATATTTACTTTTACATTCAAAATAATTTTAATTTTAAATTCAGAATTCTTAACACAATTATTTTCGTTAGTTTCTATGGTAAAAATTATGTTAAAAATTTCTGTTTATTAAAATAATATTTGTAAATAATTTTAAAATATTCAGATATAAACGAATTTTATAAAAGAAAATAATAAAATAGAAAAAAAATATAGAGTTTTATATTATAAANCTTTAGGTATATGTTTTGGTGTATCTTTTGAACCGTAAAAAG